TCCGCTTTAAGGACACTGACTGCTATTCAATCTATAACAGTGAAAAAAGTTTTTTGTTTTTAAATGCAAGCTATTGTGACACCAGATATGAGTGGTGGCACTGACTGGGCAAATGGGCACTGTATCCACTGTGAGCCTGACACATCCGCTTTAAGGACACTGACTGCTATTCAATCTATAACAGTGAAAAAAGTTTTTTGTTTTTAAATGCAAGCGATTGTGACACCAGATATGAGTGGTGGCACTGACTGGGCAAATGGGCACAGTATCCACTGTGAGCCTGACACAGAAGCTGGAAGCAGTGGCAGACAACTAACTGCTATTCAATCTTTAACAGTGAAAAAAGTTTTTTGTTTTTAAATGCAAGCTATTGTGACACCAGTGAGTGAGTGGTGGCACTGACTGGGCAAATGGGCACAGTATTCACTGTGAGCCTGACACAGAAGCTGGCAGCAGTGGCAGACAACTAACTGCTATTCAATCTATAACAGTGAAAAAAGTTTTTTGCTTTTAAATGCAAGCTATTGTGACACCAGATATGAGTGAGTGGTGGCACTGACTGGGCAAATGGGCACAGTATCCACTGTGAGCCTGACACACCCGCTTTAAGGACACTGACTGCTATTCAATCTATAACAGTGAAAAAAGTTTTTTGTTTTTAAATGCAAGCTATTGTGACACCAGATATGAGTGGTGGCACCGACTGGGCAAATGGGCACAGTATCCACTGTGAGCCTGACACAGAAGCTGGCAGCAGTGGCAGACAACTAACTGCAATTACATTACACAAAAAAAAAAAAGCATACCCTAACCCTAACCTAGCTATGCTTTTCCCTATCTAATCAACAGCAGTTACACTTCCCCTCCTCTCACTAAGCATGCAGCTTGAGAATGAATGTAAAATGGATGCCTTCCAGTAGGTGGGAGGGTCTGCTAGGGAGGGTGTGCTGCTAATTGGCTGGAATGTGTCTGCTGACTGTGAGGTACAAGGTCAAAGTTTACTCAATGATGACGAATAGGGGGCGGATCGAACCGCGCATGCGTTCGCCATCCGCGGCGGACGCGAACACGCTATGTTCGCCAGGAACTGTTCGCCAGCGAACCGTTTGGTGCATCACTACTCAAATACACTTTGAATTATCTCCCATCTAGATTTAGGCAGGTCCAGCCCAAATTATGTCAAGATGTTTCAACAAACAATTCAAGCAATGTGGCTGTGCCTCTTAGTGTATGTTGTCCCTGCTAACATCTTGCACCCAGCTACTATGTGCTGGATTGTCTCTGAGGCCTCTTTGCACAGTCTTCATCTTTGGTCCTCTCTAGTGTTAGAGTTAGAATAGGGTTACATTTACTATTTGGGTACAGTTGCTATTTCACTATTTAGGGGAGAAGATAAATCTAAGATTACAATAAAGGGTTTGTAAGGTTTAGGCTTTGCATGCTGGAATTAGAGACTAAGGAAATGGTTTCTTTAGGTTTTGGATGGGTTACATTTAGGAAAAATTGGTGTTTAGGAAATGTGGAGTTTAAAGGATCAAATGCCAAGTACTCACTCTCTTATGTTTTCTGTAGTCTATTTAACCTCCTGTGATTGCTAGCATATATTATATAGTGTACTGTTCCTGTTTCAATGTATTTACTATGTGAGAGGATCTTAGTCGGCAGTTGTGAAGCGATCACTTCAGCTTCCTCTCAAGCATCACACAGAAGTGGAACAGCACTGATTTTTATACCCTCTTTAACAGTACAAATGTAGTGGTGTTCTTATGCAGCAATTTTTTTCTGAAAAGGCAGCATTTACAGTGCTCATCCTGCAGAGACAGGCTATGGACACCAGAACATTAATCTGTGGACTTAAATCTGGTGACTAGAGTGTCTCTTAAGTTTTAAAATTCACATTATAAATGTTAAAAATGTGTGTGCAGTGGACCTGTTATAATCACATGCAGGGGCTGATTACTTGTTCTCTTTTATTGCAGATTGCCTCGTGTTTACATAAAGACTCACATTTCAGAGATCTTATTGTCAAACCTTTTTAAGTGTTTATAGTTACAGTATACTGCTGCCAGTATGTTGTGGCTCTATTTGCTGCTGTATTTATGATTGTAAAATAATTGCTTCAAATTAAAATTATTTTATGTTGTGTTTCTATTAATATATTTACTTTTCTATATACCAACCACATTTTCTTTCTCTAACAGATGGGAAAACAGACTTCTATTCAAGAATGAAGCCAATATAAAATGAGCGGTTCCATTTTTATACAGTGTTTAATCTATTAAAATCTTAAAATGTTCACATATACTATCTAAGTATAAAATGTATAATAAAAAAATTATAAACATATATTTTTTTTTTCTTCATCATCAATTATCATATAACCATGCAGCATAATTGTTGGATGTAAGAGTTATCAATCATCTTCCATATCTAACAGTTGGCCATCAGGTAAGTTTGGAAACACTCTTTATTTTTCACCAAAAATAAATCTGATGTACAA